TGTGGGAATCTTCACTCTTCCTTTAGCATGTTTCTAATCAAGAGATGATTTAAATTTACGTCTTGCTGATACCTTTTCCTCTTTCATCCAGCCCCACTTGGAAAAAAACCCCTCATTAGTTGTCTTATACCAGTCAGAATGAAAAAATAGATGAAAAAATACTCCAGTGAGGTTCTAGACTTGAATGACACAGCTTCAGGTCTTCCTGTGGAGGATGAATATCACTTCCAGTGCTCCGCATGAAGCAGAAATTAAATTTCAGGTGAATTTATTGAAAACAAGCAAGTCCTCTAAGACTAAACCATGTAGTAATTAGAAAATGAGCTGTAAAATGCAATGGGACACGTCAAGCCAAGAAAAATGGTTCTCAGCATCTGCCTGTTGCTCCCTGCCAGAGGCAGCGCTGAGCCCTGCTCCCCTCTGCTGGGGAAGGGGTGATCCACAAGTCTTCCCTGAGCGTCTGGGCTTCAAAGATGCTGGTGCCACGGTGACTCTGGCCACTGGGGATTGTCGATACCCAACACACCTGCAGCATCTCCATACCAGGAGACCAGCCAGGAACATTAAAGGGCATTGAATAGGCTCGGTCACCTCAGGGCTTGTCTCCTTCAAGGTAGAGCTTCCATCTCCCCCCATGTCTCTCAGATCTGCTCAATACAATGTTGATGTCATGAATAACTTCCTGGCATCCTGAAGGGCTCAGTCCTCACCCCACCAAGATGAGCAGCTCCGGCTGGTAACAGAGGTGGCTCTTAGGTGTAGTCTGTTTTAAAGTTCTTATTTAGAGAGAGGTGACACAGAGGTGTCCCCCCATTACACTCACTCGGAGCTAATACCTCCAGGGCTGGTTTAGGGGGTTGCTTTTCCAGCCCCATACCAACAGCAAGTGCAAAGCTCTGTTGGAGGGATGCTACCACATGCCCCGGTGCATGGAAACACTGCACGAAGCACTGGCTCTGTTACAGCTAACCACAAAAATCCCTCTGCCTTCCACCCCTGTATGTTCTAGCACTTTGGTGAGAAGAAGGTTTCATTCCTTGCAAATAGAGAGGGGAAAGTGGCACAGTAAATTTCAAGTGTAGCTTAAAAATGGGTTGCATGGGGGAGCCCAGAGTTTCTCCACTCTTTCACATTCACCTCACGTACCCACATCAGGGAAGCCGGGAGCAGCTTGTGGCCAAGTCTCACTGAAATCTTATCTTCAGCTTTGTATTGACACAATTATGCTTCGGGAAACGTAGGGATGAGGGAACAGCACAAGGCTTAACAGTGAAATACTCCTATTTTCTCTTGTCTCATAAATATACCTGTACAGAGCCTCCGAGCACTGCAATATTTTAGTTGTATGTATAAACCCCAGGTATTCTGCTTGTAAAACTCCTCCACGCGCCTCATCCATCCCCATGCTGGACTGACTGTACATGTGCCTTTCACCCTTTGTCATGGTCTGTCATCCTTATTTTTAACACAACTGCAGAACTTGAATAAACCAGTGAACTATAGTTAAAAGTCCTATGCAAGAGATGACTGGGGAGTCAGTTTTCAGTATTTCTGTGTTTCTACGTTGTTTTAAAAGTAGACACTGGGCTTTTCAGAGGAGCCTGACAGAATTAATGCCCTAAAAAGCACTGAGCTTCTTTTGTTGTTTTAGCTAAAAAGCATTTCAGATGCTAAATCTCTTAGGCAGCTTTGGAAAGCTCAGCCTAAACCCCAGTTCCCCACTGGTTTGTGCATGGAGAGTGAGCAGTACGAGCACCAGCACTTGACCAGGAGAGAGCGTGTTCAATAGCCAGTGCTTCCTTTCAAGAGAAAGGAGAAGAAAGTGCTATTTGGTGAGAAAAGAAGGTGCTATTTGGTTGGAAGAGGTTGCCTTAAGCCTTCCCTGACATGCGTTGGAGAATGTGATCGCCCCCGGCCGCAGCCCTGTGCCCACCGGGCAGAGCAGCCACATGGTTGAGCCTGTGGGGTGCTGCAGAGGACCCACACCATCAAGCAGATGCCCACGCAGCAGTTCTGTATCAGCCGTGCTCTGCTGAATGCCTTACAACAGTGGGACAACTTCCCCACCGGGATGTTGAGAAGAGGAAACAAAGCCCCGCGTTTTTCTACATCACCTCTGCTGCAGGACTGAAACCTCGTCTGAAACTCGAAGCTAACAAAATCTGTCCTTTTTTTGTGTGTTACATGTTCAATCGGTGTAAGCAAGGTTAGTAGAGAAAGGGTGTCTACTTGTAGGACGTTGTTTAAACATTTGCTGTGTGTCAACAGACTGAAGGACACGACTGCCTGGAATACGTTATGTAGCGTGCCTGTGTGTATGTAACCTGGTTTTGGTTGTTAGGTTGTAATGCTGTCTTTTGACTGAAGAAAAAAAAATCTAATATAAAGAAAAAAACACAAGAAATAAAAAAAAATATATATATATTTAAACTATTTTGTGTGCATTTCTCTAAAGACCTGTTTGCAAAAAGCTTTGGGTTTTAAAACAAGCTTTTAAAGCTGTAACTATCAGAGACAAGCCAGCAGGAAAAGACCCCCTGTTGACAACAAGGGGGGGGATCATACAGACTGAGTCATTTGAGGGATTTGTTTCCCCTCCCTGGTACCAAACCTTGAAGCTCAGTAGATGATTGTAAGAGCTAAAGCAGGTGCTGATGGCCCTGAGCAAGGTGAGTGCCACATCAGCCAATCTCTACAGCATCAGCATGTCAACAGCTTGGAGCTGTTTCTCCAAGCACATAAACAACAGCCTGATACCACCCACCTTATAACTGAGAGGCAGAGATGCCTCTAAGATGATTAAGGGCTTGGAGTGTCCGGCAGATGAGGAGAGGGCTGGAGAAGGCTCAGGGGGATCCCATCCACGTGTGCTGATACCTGATGGGGGGAGTACAAAGACTCTTCTCAGCCCAGGGGCTGGATGAGAGGCACAAAATGAAGTAAAAAAGAAGTTCTGCTTAAACGTAAGAAAATGCTTTTTCACTGCAAGGGTGTTTGACCAGAGGAGCACGTTGCCCAATGCGTTTGAGGAGTCTCCATCCTGCAGATACCCAAACTGAGAGCAGACACAGCCATGAGCAACCTTCTCTCTGGCCACCCAGCCCCTGGCCACCTCGGTGACCCTCTACTGTGTCCCCTCTACATTACCAACACCTTTATTGTGTGTGTAAGGAGGGGGTGGTGGTGGGAACCAGGTGATAATGTTCCAGATGTGATCTAACCAGTGCCAGGCAAAGGGGAACCATCACCTCTCTCAGCCACTGAATACACTTCAGTGCAGCAGCCCTGTCCCTGCACCAAGCCAGAGGTAACTCACTCACCTCGAGGGCTGCAGAGCTGCTCCCCATCAGCCACTGCCAGTGGGCACAAGGAGAAGAGGCTGCAGCTCCTTCCAAGACTCCTTCCCAGGTGTAGGATCTTGCATTTGTCCTTTCCCAAGGTCCATGTGTCCCTGTAGTGGCCCTGCCCTCAAATCCATCTGCTTCCCCCAGTGTGGTGCTTTCCTCGAACAGGAGTACATCCCCTCTCCTCCCCAGTTCATTGGTACATGGACCTTGCCTGTGAAAATGACTTTCCAGGTTTGTGGACTTTGTTCCAGCTCCACAATTTCCCCGCTGGCCTGACCGGCAACGGCACAGCACAGGGTGATCACGTTCTGGCCAGACTTGGTGGGGAGGACATCACAGAGGAACACCACAACAGGGCCTCTGCTGTCCCACCAAAGCCTTGACAGACACAGAGCAATCCTGCCTTGTCCTTAGCACAGACACGTGGAATAAAACCAATTTTGTGAGCTGGCCATCTGAAGATGAGGGTTAAAATGTGGAGGATGGAAGTAGTAAAATGGGCCATTTCATTGTCTTCCTACTGACTGTACTTACGTGCGTGTAAGCACATACAGCATATATACATGCATACAGGAAGGTGTGTGCATGGATCCATAATCCTACATGCACACATAAATGTGTATGCATGGCTCTATAATCCTAAAGGAGTAGATGCTTTTTGTGGAAACCAACTTCATACTACCCTCTGTAAAGCAAGAGAGGTGAGAGCAGCTGGGGATTCAGAGCATGGGGGGAGGCAGCATCTCAACAGCATCTGATTTTTCCCTTGTAAAAGACAGCATTTGCACTCTGACAGGGATGACCAGAGATGGGAGCCTCAGTGTCTATTACCTTGTGCACAAATAGGTAATTTCTTCCATTATAAAAGGTGACAATTTACCTTTATATCTATCGATATGTTTTTATAATTCTGTAAGAGAAGAAAACAGGTCCAAGTGTCTGTGCACAAAGCAATGAGCAACCTGAAAGGACCAGCGAGAGCTCCCTGGAACAAGGGGCCTGACCTACTTTCCATAGCCCTGCATACAAACCAGGCACTGCTGGTTATCCACGGAGCAGACTGCAGGCTCCTGCATTTCACAAAGTCTTCAAACCACTCCATACAGCGTTTCTCACTGCTGCATTTTCCTGC